AGCTACCTCTGGAGACTTCTTGCTGGGAGTGTGGCCGCGGGGAGGAGGTGCATGAGAGCAGGGGCCCTGGGAGAAATGCCCGGGAAAGAGGTGTTCCATTTCAGCCACTCCGATGGCGCCCTCCCATGTACAAGAAATCACTGTTCCCCTCCCTGGGGAGGGAACAGTTGGTGTAGATGGTCTCTGCAGGCCTTGTAGACTCTGGCTTCTGGCACAACTGAAGGGCCCTAGTGACACAGCCTTCTCTGCAGCAATTATAGTGCTGTAGTTAGACCAGCCTCTACACCCACCCGGACAAAGGCGACCCTGGCTGTCCTGGTCCCTCTGGCCCTTCTCGGTGCTCTCAGACCTGCCCACGAGACTCCCAGGCCACAGCCCCCAGGCAGGGACCATATCTGTGAACAGACCGGGATCTCCAGCCTCACTCTGACCTTTGCCTCCACTGTAAGCCACTCAGTTGCCAGGAGCCAGTATGAGGCTACAGGCTGGGGACTTCCAACTGGCTAGAGTGGAACTGCCCTTCCTTCCACCTCCTTCCAAGGCTTTGGGACGGGCTTGCTTTCCCTTCCAGCCTGCGTCCTAACTCCACTGAGGGACTTCAGTGTCTTTTGCACAACCTCCTGCCCTCTTAGTTTCTTGATTTCTCATGTCCAGTGCTTAGTTTCTCCATTCCACCCCAGCAACCCTTCCCCTAGCTGACGCCCAAGATCTGATCACCCTTGTTGTTACCCTGACCATTCTACCTTTCTGAACCCCGACAGCCTGCCCTTGACTATAACGGCCCTATTGCTCCCACTACGTGATGGCTGCACAGTGCCTACTGTGTGCTAAACACTGCTCTAAGCATTTACATCTATTAACTAATTGAAGCCCCACAACAATCCTAAGAGGTGTGGTTGCCATCTCTACTTTACAGATGGGGAAACAGAGGCTCTGAGGAGTGCAACTACTGGCAAAGGTCACAGACATGGTGGTAAGATGTGGCCGAGCTAGGATTCCGTGGGCCGCGTGTCCCCTGATCTGTGCCGTCTCCAGGACTCTGCTCCTCCTGTTGGATCTGCTCTCCGATCTCGCACAGTCCTTGGAACTCTCCATTTTCTCCACGAGCCTCTTGTCCTGGCTTTCTGCACCCAACAGAGAGCTCACATTGACTGGCTTCAGTTACTCTTGCGATCTCACCTTGTCTTTCTACCAAAGCTGCCGGCCAAACCTAACCTTGCCTCAGTCCAGCTTTCTGCCTTCGTAAGTCTCTGCCTAAACTGCTAAGCCTAGCAGGCGGGTGAGAAGCAACCCATAGCTGGGGAGTGTAGGCTGTCTGTCTCCCCTCTCTTACTCTGAGCTCACTACTCCCCTCATTGGACTGACCCCATGTCTTCTGGATCATCTAAGGCTCTTCCATCTTTTTTTTTTTTTTTGTAGAGGTTTTTGCCTTAGGGCACATGTGCTAACTGGAGAGAGACAGATAGAGCCAGCGAGAGGGAAAGTGAGAAATCCCCCTGACAGGATGGCCACACTACAATCCCTTCTCCATTCCCCTCCTGGGATCTTGAGCACCCATGCACATACACCTGGTATGACTTTCAAGCCACCAGGTTCGTGGCTTGAACCGCATTTGGCCATGTGGGAGTCCAACAACATAACCACTATGCCATCTGCTGGCCCCAGGCCTCTCCCATCTTAAAACAAAACTCTCTTCCAACCCCATGTCTGCCTCCAGCTAACATTCTTCCCACTTCTGGAAAGTGTTGTCTACTCTTGGTACTTCACCTCCCTACAAGCTAATCCTGGGATCAGCAGGTGGAGTGATGGTTAGAGTGCCGGACTCCCACATGGCAGACCATGATTTGAATCCCGGGTCCACTGGCTTAAAACTCCTCAGTGAAGGGACTAGCAGATGATGTGATGATTTCGTTGACTGTGGTTCGAGTCCTGGACCTGGTAGCTTAAAACTCACTTTGAGCGTGTGTGCATTCCTACCGAAACCGAGAGGAGAATGGAGAAGGGCGTACAGTGTTGCCACCCTCACTGGGAAGTGATTTCTTGCTTTCCGTCTTTCTGTCTCTCTCTTTGGCGAGTACATGCACCAAAAAATAAATAAATAAAGATCCCGAGTGGAGAAAAAGGAATTGTGTGTGGGGGGGTGGCCTTTCTCTTTCTGTTTGTTCCCCTCCCAGCAATGTTCCTCTGTCCCTCCAGTGAGCACACACTCCCTATACCAAAAATCTTTCAAAAGAAAAAGAAAGTCAATCCTCAGGGCCAGCAGGTGGCGTGGTAGTTAAGGTGGAGGACTCTCACATGACTGGTGTTTGAGCTCCAGACCCAGCAGCTTGAAAATCACTCCAGGTGTGTGTGGGTGTGTGCCCAAAATCCCAACAGGAGAATGAAGGAGAAGGTGATTTCTTACTTTCCCTCTCTCTGTCTCTCTCCAGCAAGCACATGTGCCCCAAGGCATAAACCTAAAAAAAAAAAAAAAAGGAAAAAAGAAAGTTCATCTTCCCCAGGGCTGGTGACTCTGTGATCATGGGAGTCAGATCCCACACGACTATGATTCAAGTCCTGGCCCTGGTGGCTTGAAAACCACACTGAGCATGTGTGTGTGCCCCAGATCCTGACAGAGTGCAGAGAGGCGGGACAAGGGATTACGGCATGGCCACATCCTATTGGGGGCTGCTTTCTCTGTCTCTCTGTAGACTGCAATTAATAAAAAGAAGTTGACCCTCTCCAATCTGGTTTCTGCCCCATCAAGGTCTCAACTGTTCCCAGCTAGGCCGGTTGCCTCCTTGTCGCTGAACTCCATGAACATGTTCACCCCCTAGCTCAGGACCTCTCCACCTCTCTGGCCCTGTGGAGCCCTCCCTCCTGGAACATTCTCTCCTTTAACCTTCGCCTCCCTCCACAACCTCCCCCAGCCCCAGCTACAAAACCTGGGCCTCCACTTCTCACTCACGTTTCCCTCACACTTTCCCAGTCACCAGGTGCTTGGATTCCCCTCTCCTGGGGCTCTGGAGCCCACCCCTTCCTCTCTGGTCTTACTGCTGCAGCGTCCCCACCTCTCTCTGCTGTTAGGGTCTTCTGCCCCAACCTGGGCTGTCCCCACGCCCTGCTCCCCAGGAGTGCCTGAGCCATGAGTGTCCTTCGCAGGGCTCCCAGATCTGGCTCCCTCAGGGCAGGTGAGGCTGGGTATCCAGGTCCACATGCCCCACTACCCTAGCCTTCCTAGAAGGCCGGGATTACACTCACCTTCTTGTCGCTATATAGTGGGGATGCCTCTCCCCAGGGGCCGAGTGAACCTTGAACGAATGTGAAGGGAGGCTTGGGCCAGAGGGGCGCCATGTCTGTTCTCTGCCTTCCTGGCTGGGCCGGCTTCCGGGGTTGAAACTGTCCAATTCTCTGATCCCTCCCTCATTCTGGGCCTTGGGGAGGGAATGGAGGTCCGTGGAAGTGGGTTCTAGGGCAGAGACTACTGAGTTAAGAGCAGGCAGGAGCAGGATGGAGCACAGCGGGCGAGGCAGCCAGTCCACGCTGTGAGTCTTTCCTTCTGTCGCTGTCTGTCTTTGTCACCTCTCTTTTTCAGAGGGTACAGGTCCCTGGTCTGGGCACCAGCCCTTACCTTGGGTTCAGAGCTGGATGGAGTATCTCATTGCTTCAAGTATCCCCTACTCACCCCTTCGCTTCCCTCAACTCCTGCAGTCTTCACTCGCTTGAGCTGGTGGACGCTCCCCTACCGGTTCGATCCGGCGGGCCTCGGGACCCTGGACCAGCAGGAGGGAAGGATCCTGCGAGTGCAGGACATTCAGCCAGAGGAGCGCCAGAGTCGGACCCCGGGGGACTGGGCGCAAAGTGCGGGGTGGGAGGGCGCTGGCTCCCAGCCCACAGGGCTTGGGGCGGGTTCCTGGGCCAAGCCGCTTGGAGATCCCGGATCAGCGGGTGGGTGGGTGCGTGTGTGGGCGCCGGCCCGGGCTCCCCGCCCTTGCGGCGCGCAGAGACGCGAAGCCCCACTAGGCTCGGCTCCCTGGAGCAGCCCCCGCGGCGGCGGCCGCTGGCGGGGAGGGCCGGCGCGC